GCATTTCCGGACACAAGTTCATATAGACTTGTTTTCTTGAATATTTCAACGTACTCATGTTACACCCTATATAACCTGTGAAATTTTATTTCTGGTAACTTTTCTGGAATCCAGTTTCATAACAGAAACCGCATATCTCATTGAAACAACTATTAATGAATTTTTCCATCGTTATCTATATTGCTCATCAATTACAGTTAACCCGCTTGTTTCCGATACCATCTGATGGTTCATATAATTTCATTCATATTTATAGCGAGTCGTAGAACAGAAAGTGGACTTAAACAATTAGTTCAATTGCTAGTTGCAACTGATATTAATTTCGCTCACGTCAATATTCTGAACATAGGAAATGAATAGTAATTGTGCTACTTAAAGACATCAGATGTTACTGACGTATCCAATAATTCTTCAAGAGTATTTAATGTTTAATATATTGAGTCTTTGTCGATAAATACAGATGCATTATTATACAGTGCATTTCTTCAATGCCCCTCCCTCTTTTATTTTTTGAACGAGTCAACTCAAAAAATTCAAATTTGAGATAATGAAATTAATGCGTGAATACCTTATTTTGAAGTGAAATTGACAGATGAAACTTTCTAAAGTAAATGGAACTTCAAACGTTCCAGCCAGTCTCTATATACCTACACAGTAGGTTTAATGGACTGACACCTATCAGAAAACAACTACTACCTGCTACTAGTTTTTAAAGTATTTTGAAAGTACCTAATTTATTTCTGCAATTGAAAAAATGTTGCTGGTATTATGTTTTATAGTTCAACAAAGCGGGACCTAATGAATTGTGAATTTTAAGCAAGTTTACGAATCATTTGTACAATTTCTATTGGCAACACTGGCCGTCAGCATAGATCAGCTAGTACGAGCTCAGGTACGAGTAGTACGTCAGTCGTCGGTCGTCGTTTTGTCAGGGTTTACAGATTAAATATCTGTGTCAGGGTCAATTGTCATAATTTAGATTTGTCATTTCTTCGAGAGTAGTAAGATTTGTCATTGTCGTCAAATAATAAAGTTAAGAGTAGGAAAAGATAATCCAGGTGATAATTGTTATAAACAATAAGTTCATAAAATTTCACCTATAGTATTCATTTTCCTTAACACTTGTTTTAATTTATACTGGGAATAAAGGAACCAAGATGGGTAAAGGATTCAATAATTATATGTGTAAGAAATTCTTCCACCCAGCATCTAGAGACAATTTGAAGAGGGTATGGATTGCAGAACAGAAAGCAGAGGCATACAAAAATAAGCAAGAAGAGCTCCGCCAACAGTATGAAAAGGAACAAGATCTCCATGATAATAAAGCAATGCTTAGTAAAGAGAGTAAAGACAAGTTGAGCCTTACTTTTATGTATGAACCTCCTCCTGGAGCCGGGAAAGAAAGGAAGAGAGAGGATAACGAGCCAGAGTATAAGTTTGAATGGCAGAGAAAATACAATGCACCTCGTGAAAGTTACTGCAAAGGTGATCAAGAAATTCGTGATCAGCCCTTTGGAATCCAAGTCAGGAATGTTCGCTGTATCAAGTGTCACAAATGGGGACATATTAATACTGATAAGGAGTGCCCTATGTACAGCTTGTCTTTGAGAGCTGCAAGATCTTTGGAAACTGCTACAGTCCTCGACCAGAATTCCTTAGTTCAGCAAATGCTTGACGATGGTTTAGCTTTAAAAAAACAGCATATCAATACCACCGAAGCTAATAAACACCTGCTAGTGAATGGAGATGTAGAAGAAGATTCAGAAGTGGCATTTATAAGATCTTTAACTAACAAACAAAAGAGAGCATTATTGAGAAAACTGGAAAAGCTAGAGAATGATTTAAGTTCTAATTCAAAAAATAATGATGAGTATACTGACAGGGAATTATCCTCGGATGAAGACACACAAAAGAAAACTAGGTCTAGAACTCACAAGAAAAGAGAAGACCGGTATAAGAATGAAAAAAAGGGAAGTAGGAGTAGAGAGAGGAAGAGGAAAAGAAGATGTGACAGTGAGGATAGATATTCCAAGAGGAAGCATTAATAAATGTAGTTGTATTTGCATGTATCACAAATGCAGTTGAAGGATATTCAAATAGGTAATGACTAATCATTATGAATGCGGCTATTCATCAAAATGTAAACTGATTTCCGTTTTGTAAACGAACCGTTCTGATTTGAATGACATCAAATAACGACTATGGTTCGGCAGAATTTAGAAATGTTGAGATTTCCATGTAATTGCAATAATTGTAAGAATAAAATGATAAATTGAAAAGTCAAAGGTATATCTTTCAATTCCCCATTCACCACTGAAATCCATTCCAATTGGCCATTCCACATTTTTGGGCGACCGTGACAGGATAATCTACAGTGTCTCAAAAACAACTAATGTTAATGATGATCTACAATAATAGTCTTTCGAAAACAAATGTTGAAAAAAAGTCCAAAGCCTTTGAAAGTTACTTGTATAATATAACAATTTTGAATGTTACAACTAAATTCTTACCGGGATCATTTTTATTGTCTATGCATCGCCATAAATTGGCATAAATAATTGGCAAGTGAGATGATTCCTTAAACTTTGCCCCCCGTAACAAGATAGCTTCTGCATATCGATAGGATGTACGAGCGAATAGGTGAACCCGTTTGTTAAATACTTTGAAACATCGGTAAACTAATCAACACTTCGCAGGTCTATTATATTTGAGTCCTTAAAATGTCATAACTAGTCATTCGGTTACTTCATTGTTCTGTTTCTTGTGAAGGTGACCTTGTTTTGTATTTATTAAATTGACTGTTATATTTATTAACTTTAAAATATAAGATAGAGTTGACCGATACTTGTTTTTCAAAATGCATTATCATAGGTTTTCATCACCTTCACACTTTATTGTGAGATAATTAGTTGACCTAGTCATTAAACTCAGGTATAAATGTTCGTTAAACTCAGGTGTAACTGTCATTAATTAGTTCCTAGATTCCTAGAATATTATTAGTTTCTAGGTAGATAGTAATCTTTCAAAAAGTATATATAAATCACAATGTATGTAGAATTCAGTTTGTTAGTGAATACGCTTGAAAATTATACTGTGCAGCGAAACACGTGTTGCGGATTTGTTAATCTGTTCTAGTGAAAATCTCACAATAAAGTGTTTTTCAAAATACATCAGCTTTAAAATAGTTTTTGAGGTAAGTAAACAACTGACAAATAGCTGAATAATATAATTGAATTTTATTATTTTTATAGTATTAAGATGGATGCCGTAGCAGGTCCAAGTAATGTCNNNNAGCAAAAAAAAAGACCCAGTAATTGGAAATGCTTGATATGATATTGATTTCAATGAACATAAAATGAATTAGAAAGTCGATTTTGAATAGAGAAAATGTATTATCTCGTAGAAGGTCAAACGATCAGTTTCAGATATAACAGATTAGTAAATATTTGAGAGCTATTAATATAAGTTTATCGACAAATGTTTTATCACACTAGATACTGTTTGTTTTTCGGCAACAGTGTCTCGACAATATTTATGAGGGAGCATTTATTATTGGAAAATGTTCGAATTAAAAATCAATATAAGTTCATTCTTTGTTGGGTCATTTTTTCTAAGGATAAAGCACACGCACTACAGGAAAATCTCCAAGTCTTTCTAAGGGCGGTGCCATATCAAAAACACACAGTTTACCTTCACCACTTCAGATTTTAACGAAACTTGGCCCAGATGTAGGTACATCTAATATAGTTTTTGAGTTTATCAATTAGAGTTATTCTGGATGTCTAAAAAACAACAAAATAGACATGGGCATTTATTCTAAATTCAATTGCTCTCCTGAACTTATTATATAAACCGTTTTTTCGGTTTTTAATGTCCTTAATAATGTTGAAGACATGCAATAACGGTTTTTATTTTGGGTTTCTGAATAGACACTCTTCAAAGATTGAAAAAATCAAATGTAGTTTACTATATGGTCAAACCCTGAGCAAAATTTTAAAATGGGGGAGTAGTTGCAACCTAGATGAAACTATTCAAAACTAAATGTACCTCACTTTCAATTTGTATTCAGAATTTCTTTTTAGAAACTTAAAATCAAAATGTTCACTATTTTTTTACTTTTTCTTATAGAAAACAATGATCTATCTCCCAGTCTCTGATTCAATTAGGAGGCGAGCAATCACAATTTGAGTTTGACTTTGAACGACCTTGACCTACGCCACACGACGCAGGCAAGATGACTTTGAGGTAGTGATTTGGATATGACCTTGAATGACCTTCATTCACTCCCCAGTTACGCGGCTATCTTGAAGTTTTGAACCTACAGGACACAGTGTAGTCAACTTTGAAGGTGTGTTGTCTTTGACCTTGACCTACGCCACACGACGGAGACAAGGTGACTCTGGAGTAGTGTTTTGGGCCTGACCATGAACAATCTTGTTTCACACCCAATTCTACACGGCCATTTTGAAGTTTCAAGGATTCGACCTTAAACGACCTTCATCTGCGTGGGCGAGGTGGCTTCTTGGCTTTTTGCTTTGTAGATTCCCGAGCAACTTATAAAAGAAGGTAATTATTTTGAGCTCGATAATCCAGATACCTAACTTCTCTTGTTTTTGACAAGCTCATTCATGTCAGGTATCACATTCGCTGTAATTATTTCAAGATTCGTAAGTTTTGTGCAATGTTTGTTCTTATTTATTTTCACAACAATCATGGATATCGCACGCACACGACCCAAACAAATGAACAATACCTTTACAATCACTACTTCGCAATACAACTAAAATCCTTCTCCGACCGTATCGCTTCGATAACTCGACTTAACAGACTCACGTCGCGTCGAAGCACTCCTTTTATATCGATAAGGAAGATTCTAGTCTAGAATCGAAGCGCGTGGATGATAGGGAAATTTCGCTTATTGCTGAGAGATGGCGATACTGTCTATGATTGGGTTGTTTACTAGAAATAAATAGGTACCTAACTAACACTCTCTCGCTTGTTTAGGCACACGCTTTTCTTTGTAACACATTAGGATCGCGGGCCGTAGTGATACGGCCCCAAGGGCGTTCCAGAGATCGTGCGATTTCTTCATCTTCATCCGTGAAGGAATCAATGGCGTTGGGTAATAGTATTATACCACCTTCACCAGGCTGGAAAATAAGGAAAACACAAGATTACCTACACATATGGAATTGTCTTACAAAAAACAGGTCGGGAATAAAATTAGTGCGAGAAAAACATACATACTATATGAAAAATGAGAAATAAACCGTCCTATGTTTCATTTCTCATTTTTCATGATGATCTCCAATACCACGTGGTAACGGTTACATTCATCAATTTATACATACTATAAGTAGGTGTTTATATGTGTGCGGAATTATTATATGTGTTATCAATGTAACTGTTTTGTCTTCGTTTTTCATTTGTAGAAGACAAGGATGGTAATATCATATGTGTATTATCCCATATTTCATTGATATACAAGTGTTACTTTTCATAGCCCCAACTGTATCAATTTATGCAACCAGTTACGAATAGTTTCAGTCCATTCGAAAACAGTAATAATAAATGGGCCATTCAATTCTAATATCAAGCAAAAAATACCAAAAAGAGCGCTTAAAAATACACCCAGTATGCATTGGCTGTTCTACTTGTAGTGTTATAGAGCGATAGTTGTGTATAAGTCTACGTTACTTCTGTCATTAGAAATGTGTCTTAGCGGTATTTTGATACGGAACCAATTAACGAGAGCAGAAGACGAAACTGTTCATGACCCGATCGTCACGACTCTGTTTTGATTCCAGTGAGAATGGAAACATCGCGTTAGCTTTGCTATATCAACAAAACAAATTTTACACTGTCACGGAAGAGTTAATTTTCAATTCAGAAGAAAGTATCGAGTTAGGATTTGAAGAAAGTTTCGTAATGATCATTCACCTATACTGAACAAGAATTCGAGATAAAAACAAAACTTTTAATAATTCTAAAATACAAATGATGAGATTATAAAGCAACAATAAAAATTAATTGGCGCTCCGGGGCGACTTCATTGATTCCAGTGGCGCATTTGCTTTTTCAGCTGCAGGAAAACCTGCAGCACTACATCTTCTGAAGATCTTGATCTGTCAATATCATCTCTCTCATAAAACAAAATGTATAGTATAACAATTTTCAATTGGAGGTAACTGATATACAAATTGAACTGAGAGCTAAAGATAACAACGCTAAATGTTAGAACTAAATTCTTACCGGGGTCATTTTTATTGTCTATGCATCGCCATTGTAAATAATTGAAAAGTAAGATGATTCCATACAATTTGCCTCCCGTAACAAGATAGCTTCTGCATATCGATAGGATGTACGAGCGAGTAGGTGAACCAGTTCGTTAAATACTTTGAATCATCGGTAAACTGATCAACACTTCGCAGGTCTATTATATTTGCGTCCTTAAAATGCCATAACTAGTCATTCGGTTTCTTCATTATCAAGCGTCCTTATCTGCATAGGCGTAGTATGTTCTGTTTCTTGTGAGGGNAGATACATTTACCGTTAGAAGATTCATTTCGGACCACTCCATTACTTTATTGTATACTATTTCTGATGTTATCACAAGTTCAGTAGTATCTTCGCCAGTTATGAGTAGATTTGTATCATCAGCATATGATGTTACTTGGACTTTAGAGATGTCAAGAAGGAAATTAATGAGACCATTAACATAGATTAAAAATAACAAAGGTCCAAGAATTGAGCCTTGGGGAACTCCCTGTTTAACAATGAGAGATTGGCTCTGGGTTGTGTTGATGATTACACTCTGGGATCGATCAGTTGAGTATGATTTCATTAAATTCAATGCTACACCCCTCATACAATATCGCTCAAGCTTAATTAATGAGAGGTCATGATTAATACAATATATAGAACAACATTGACCAGGGCATTATTGTCAGCGGCGAGCACGATAGGTCGATGATTACTAACTGCTTTCGACCTGAATTGGATGACCTGGACACCAGCGACATGTGGTTTCAACAGTGGTTTCAACGACTCCATATGCCATACAGCTAATGGTATCAACAGGTCTTTTAAACGAATGAATCATAGTTAAATTCAAAGATAGGAATAACTTAATGAAAGACCTTATACAACCCTGATTTCAGGTATGAATTTCATATAAAAACTGGAAACAAAAATTGACGTGTTCTTTGAAAATTTCGATCGCACGTATGATTCTATTTCATGTAGATTTCGAAACGCTTATTTTCCAAACAATGTCCTTCACAGTGACACTGTTGAGTCAACAAAACTTCGCTGTTAGTCAGAATTGATCTCAGATCCTGCTTACACGCATCTTTAAATGTAAATAATCATTTCATGCTTGCACAAAGCAATGAATTAGCGGAAACCGACATGGACATGTCGTCGTCGCCGAGGTGACTGACTTAATGTGACAAATAACCATTAGAAGAAAGAATCACGGTCGACTTTGAACTCTGAACTGTCCAAAAAACTATAAATCACTAGTGATTGAAATATTCATACAATTGTTGTTGGGAAAGGTCATTGTCAATATAAACAATGAGATATTGGCATGCCAACGCAAAGGAAAACAATTTAATTCAATGCCCCGCTAATTGAATATGCTGAATAGATTGTTTGGAGTATGATAATTAACAAGANTGATGACAGTAAATCGTTGGCTGTCGCGGGCCGGATTGATGACACTGGCGGGCTGGATTTGGCCCGCGGGCCGTAGTTTGGAGACCCCTGCTCTAAATGAAAGAGTTCCTTAACAGTGAAGTTCGAGGTGTATTGATATCTGATTTGAAAAAGTATAGCTTGCTATTAATATTCTCATTTACAGTAATTCATTTAGAACAGACTTCAAGTGTAACTCATCTTCCTGCATCATATTAACTCTCCATTTACTTTTTTATGTCATTGCCGAGAATTGTATGCCTTCCCATTGTACACTCTTACGTCACTTATCTTTCACTTGTTTTCACTCGAATAATTTGAATGGCGTCCGTCGGAGGATGAAACTCACAAAAGCTGCTCAAGGATATCTTTCAAGGGCATCAGTAAACTAGTTTTTTGACGAAGCGATTTAAAGAAGATACTGTGAACAAGGCTACGATGTGTATCAAATTCAGATGAAATATTTCATTTCAACTCTCAACCGGAGCCATGTTGAGAATAAATAAAGTTGAACTGTTGCGGGTTAGTTCTGTTAGTGAATATAATTAAAATTTCATACTGAAGCATCGAATTCTTGCACATGATTTTTTTAAATTTTTCACCCCATGAGTACCTATGTTTCAACATGGTCTCAAAGCCAAATGTTCAAGGAAAAAGCAAAATTCGTATCAAAATTCTAAATACTGATTCGAAAAAAAAAAAAACTTTCCCACACATTCATAATTGGAAAAACAATGCTTTCGACCTAAATAACTTTTGACATTTGAATGATTAGGTTAGAAATGATTATCGTTGATAGATTAGATTCAAACCGAATAAATTGAAAGAACAAAATGAATGCGTTCTCGAAAAGTCAACGCCTCTTGAAATTTCAAAAGAAAGTAGATAATTAAGTGACTACACATCTGTATGTGAAGGCACGAATCCATTTGTAGAAAATGACACGTAACCTAACAGAGAACAAGTTTCGTCAAGCGGAAACGAAGTACTGTTGCATTTTATCCGTAACATATTTGATACGCGTTACCGTTAACAATCCGAACCTATTTTTTACATTTGTCGGTTTCTAGTCGTCGTATATAATAATTGTTACGTTACGTACGGCGGCAACGAGTAGATAAGCACCCCCAGTCACTGCCTGTTGATTTCATGTTGTTTCGTACCTCGTTATGTTACGTTACGGAATACGGCCAAAACTCAAAATTATTCGGGATACGAACCGACATTTTCAAACGAGCCGACAGTTATGTTACGAACAATATGTTACAAATAGATACCTACACGCTTTCATGTGATAACATTGTGTTACGTCACGGTTTACGTTAACATGTTACGTTAAACGTTGTTGCGTTAACATGTTATGTTACGGGGAATTTGGAACAAATATATACGCGCCTTTATGTGATACATGTTGGTGTGTTAACACTTTTTTATGTGACGGGTTACGCTAAGATGTTGCGTTACACGTTGTAACGTTACTGGTTACATGTTGTCAGGTTACGGGTAATTTGTTACAAACAGATACGCCCCTTCATGTGATAACATTGCAATATGAAGTTCGTTGTTGCGCCTCAACGTCACAACAAACATGTTTGGCTTGTTGCATGATGACATGGTTTGCTCCAGGAAGCATTTTGAGTAACCGTAACTGAACTATGTTACTATATAAGACCGCATTCAAAAGGTAAGAGTACGTGATACGCGACATCTATTTACTCTCTAGGGATAGTTTCCCTACATTACATTCAATAAAATATAGTTAGTTTTGAAATGAGTTTCTTGCAACCGTAAGTGAAATATTTTACTCAGAATTTAAATGTAAACTAGGATGTGTCGGTCAACTTGAGTATCGTAGGATGTGACGATGACTCGGGAAACCGCAATGACATTCGATAAAAATACTAGCAACTTCACAAGACCTGAGAAAAAAGTGTTTTTCGTAATTCCCATTGTTCAGTACATTCCTACCTAAAAGAGGTCTGTTGAAAAAATAAGGTGATTTTTAATTGTTCACAAAGAATATTTATTCATACATCAATTTCTATTTTGTCCCCTCCATAGTGGTCCCCCTCAGATATAAAACAATTGTACCAGCGTTTCTTCATGTCCCCGAAGCAGTTCTGCAGAAAAGCAGAAAAAAGTCGCGGGTGACCAAATCTGGTGAATACGGTGGCTGAAGCATGATTACGACGTTGTTTTCGGCAAAAAATTCAGGAACAAGCAATGACGAGGGAGCAGGTGCATTATCATGATGCATGATAAACTGTGTTCGAGACAAGTGCACCAACATAAAAAAAATCGCTAATCGAATGTAGGTAGCCCGTGAAATATGAACATTCACCTTATTTATTGAAAAGACCTCGTATTAATGTGTGAGCCCAAGCGGGGATTTCAGGATTTACTAAAGCGCGGCAGATTAATATACAGGGGGATACCTTGTACCCGGTTAAGTACCTCCACCAAATATGAACCCCATATACATATAAGGCCGCCCGTGAAGGATAAAGGATCAGATTGGTGAAAAAAATTGATATCAGAAATTCTCGAGCGCGTCAGATTAAGGTAGGGTGGGTTAATTACCTGCTAAAAAGTGTATATTCCAGTAATCTGACAATTTGAGAGTGACCTGAAGAAAGGCGAGGGCAACAAAGTTGTATAAAAATAACGTCATTTCGATATTTTCGAGCTTAGCTAATTTTTTTTGATTTTGAAGGAAATCATTCATGTATAACGAAAAATATATAATCTGACGATTTCCGCAAGCCGAAATAACAATAAAGTCAATAAAGTTCAATGCGTGCAGGTGTGTGATACCTACATTTCCCTCTCCAAGTTTCTATTCCTCTGTTCTCTATTCACTTTTTCTCTATCTATTCATTCACTCCGTCCCCACTCTGAATTCTGTTGTCATGACGCCATCTGACGCCAGCTGATCACACAGACTCGTGCTTATACAATATATAAGTTTGAAAATGTCTTATAAGACGAAAGTGTAGTAACGTTAGTTACAAATAAAAGTGGAGCTCGATTAATTTTTTTTCCTTGCACTTTTAACCCAAACGATCAGATTGACATACCAACATTATTAAAAATATATAGGATACTGATGCTATCAGTATCTGATGCGCTCGAGTATGTCCATGCAACAGTATTTTTTTACATATTTAAAAATCTATAGCCGCTTCCCCCACCGATGAAAAGGTATATATTATATAAAATAAATCCCCATTTTGCATCGTTGGCTCCCCTGCTATATGTGTTCCTCCACTCGGTGGCAGGATGCTTTGAATTAGCGATTTTGCAGGATGTTTTGGCATGCGGGAAAATAATTGATATTCTACCGTTCACATTGAATAATTGTAGGCTAGAGGTCGACGATCTGCTTTTTGCTTCGAGAATCTTTCTCACTCGAATGTGTTGACGAAACAACTTGGATGGCAGAAGCATCCGCTCATCTGGAGCTGGATACGACATTTTTTGAATGCATTCATTTCTGTGCTCACTTACGTCAGTCATTTCCATTCGAAACTATCTCGATTATTTTCATGTTTGGTATGGAAACAAAAAAGACAGTGGGTTACATACAAAAAGGCTTCGATTGATCCACAAATATCCAGAACATTACACAGCATTCAAGACTGCTCTGGATTGTTCCGAGGTGATCTGGGCTGTTCCCGTTCGTGCTAAGCTATTCATAAATATTCCTTCACATTCCAGAATGTTCAGATATCTTCTGAAAGGCTCTCAAATACTCCTGAATATTCTCAAGAGTTCTAGAAATTTTTATAGGGCCAAACTTCCTTCCCTCATATGTTTGTGATATTGATGACTTATTCATTTTGTGGAAATTCATCTCCAATTGAATGATATAGATATAGAAATAAAATACTTTGTCTAATTTCCACTTAATGTATTGATATTAATACGACCAAGGTTTCGGTGTTTACACCATTCTCAAGTATTCTAACACTACTGACCTAAGAGAAATATCGGGGTATATATATCCGAATGGAGTCCGTGGAGAGTTTGTAGTGTCTATATGACTGAATGGTACTGGTTGGAGCCTATAAAGTCATCAGGAGTTCGGATCTATTTATCTACATGGTTCGGGACCATGAGAGCAGCTTCTCGAGCGGCTGATGAACTCTGTTTAGTTTTCGATACTGAACTGTAAGCGAGTTGGAACCTGTCCAGCAAAAGGCCCATATAAAAGCCAGAGAGATCACTTCACTGTTCCGGATACTCGATATGGTTAGAATATCTTTCACATTTTGAAGATTATCTATCACACATTTCACACACTTCACCAGATAGTAGGTACTCATCATGAGTATGGCCCAGACGAAGACGAGATATAATAACCTGGACTGTTTTTGTTAGGGGACTGCATTAGCTCTTGTATTATTGATGACGACCTACTCCACTGTTAGCGGGTTAGTAATAGCCTAGCCTGAGGCTATTTGGTCAGCTCTTTCATTTCTAACTCTCCCACATGAACTGGTTGAAAATATGTTTTTGATGTTGAATGTGGAAAAACAGTTTTATGACAAGCAATATGGTATGATTGGTATATCGTTGTGTCATTGCTTTGAGACCACTCAGCGATTCTGTAACAATTGAGCATTTTGGACGATTTTGTACCACCATGTACATAATTTTCCTGTGAATATTGTGCTTTCTTTTGGTAATCTCAATGAACAGCTGAATTCAGAGCTGGTGAAAACACTGTTCTCACTCCCTCTTCAGTTTCGTATGCATCGGTGTATACAGGAAAGGAGTTTTCGTATTGCTGCAGAAGTTGGTGACATGTTGCACGGATCATCCTGGAATTTTTATTGTTTTTATCAAATTGTAGCAACCCGTATTCAATGTCGGCTCGTGGAGTTATCCAGGGGGAAGGATTGGTTATATTGGGAATTGTAGTTGGTTGTTGGAGGAGGAGACTCAAAAAATAACTGTTTACTCATTAAAACCTAAAGGTCTGTGTTTGCAAAAATATTTTTTGTCAAATCCATTCTAAGTAGTTGGTTTTACCGCACATACGAATGTGCGTTGATAAAATGTGATATCACTATCTTGGATCACTTGTTTCACTATCAAGTATTTCCCAATCAAATTTTGTGATTGGTGATTAGATATAACAGTCAATAAATAATATTGTCAATTTATATACTGAAGAAATAGTTTTTCATAAAGTAAATAAAAAATGAAGCAATAATGATAACAAATAAAAAACGTATACACGAGTTTATTGTGAATTTTTCACCAAACAGATTTACAAAAACGCAATACATGTGTCACTATATAATAGCTTCTTCAGGAGTGTTCCTACACGCCTTCAGGCGTAGTTTCTTATTGCAAAAAAAAAAGACTAAAATATAGTATGATATTGCTAACTGGAAGAGATTCTTTCGATGTTGCTGTCGATTTTTCTAACGGTAATAAAAATATGAATTACTTTTGGTTTTATTTGTTCAACTTATGAAGAAAACGAATATAAATCTTGCGGTGTTGCCACATTATGCAAACTATTCATGCAATGCAAGATATTGCACGAAAAATGCAAAATTTCCAGAGAAATGTCTTGTAGAAATATTTTTGTTAGAGAGGTAAATTGAAGGGATATTTACTTTTGAATGATTCAGGAAAATTTTTCAAAAGTGGATTGCAATAATGAAGGACCTTGTAGGACTTACCGTTTCCGAGATAGCTAAAAAAAAGCGCCCTGCATACTCAAAATATATTGAGTTATATTTGATTATTCCATTGGGAATTATCATATGTTCTATTTCTTCAACAAGACCATGAATTGGAAAAACTTAAGAAACTGGCTCTTGTGAACGTTTGTAACAAAGAGCTAAACCTTACTAAACTCTCATTATTGTTTGAATCAACAGGTAATTACCTTGGGCATCTCTGGTCGGGCAGGTGTCCGTGACCTGTCGTTGGAAATATAGTCCGGCACATCTTTCCTATTAGTAAAATTGAAAACCGCCGTGTTCGAAACCGGTTCCTTGCTCCTGTTCTTTTTTGGCACTACATTTCTGTTCACCACTTCCACACTGTTATTCGCGAAAGCACTACTCTTGCCCGGCTGTGGCGGGATTTTACCCTCGCTTTTCGCAATGTTTATTGAATTTTTTTCGATCTCTGTCACCGTTAAAGGTTTTTCTGGTTTCGGGGTAGGAATAACCGGAGGAGGTGGAGGAGAAAATCTAGGCGGAGGAGAAATTACAGGAGGAGACTTAGGCCGTTGCGTCTGCAACAAACCCTTAGGAGGAGACGCCGAGATTTTAGGCTCAGTATGGCCATTAACCTCGATTTTCAGTTGCTGCGTTGGAGGAGTCTTCACGCTCGAAACGTTGTTGGTAGCAGGAAGGTGCTCTTGGTTAACTTTCTTGTTTGTGAAGTTGTACAACGCCGTCCCGGACTCTTTGGAAATGTTGTTCATGCTGGTGGGTGAAACTCTTTTGAAGCTCGAATCCAAATCGTCATCTTCATAAACCACGTAAGTTGGTTTGAAGAGCGTTGGGCTCGGGCTAGATGGTTTATTGATGCTGGGACTTGCAAGCGGACTAGCAGGTTTCACCATATTCGGGCTCAACAGGGGACTTGTCAGTTTCTTCGGGCTCAAGACAGGACTGGGCTGTTTGTTATTTTCAAAAACGTTATTGGAAATGCGTATCTCCTCTTTGATGAAATTCTCTGTTAGGTTCTTCCTGAACGTTGGCGAGTGGATTGGCAGTGGACTAGAAGTAAGGATGAGATCCGGGGTTTCCGAAAGACTGCTAACAATATTGCCATGCTCCGTTTCTGCATTGTTGTGAAAATCGATCCTGGATACGTCCGGAATGGGGCTAGGCAAAGGCACTTCTCTGAAGTCATTTTTCGGCAGTTTGTTGAAGTCTAGATTCTTCAAAGGCTGCTTGACGTGTTTCTCTTCGACTAAAACTACTGGTTTGGCCACTGGGCGAGTATTACTAATTTTTTTATCATTAAGTACTGGTTTGGTCCCCTTGACCAGGGGCTTCCTAGCTTCGACCTTCGCTTTCACGATGATGTTGTTGAAACTATCAACTTTGGCGGCTACTCCTCCGGTTTGCGGAGGAGCCCTGGTGCGGAGCTCGGGCCGCCTTTCAAAAATCATTTTTGCCTGTTTGACGACGTCGGCGGGCGGTTTTTCTTTTTCGTTCATCACAGGTTGTATTCTTTTGGGTCTGTTTATTCTGTAACCGGTCGTAGTACTGAACTTATTTTCTCCGTTCGTGTCCGGCTTATCGACTTTCCTGTGGGGATAGTCGTTTCCTTCGGCGATAAGCATTTCCTCGTGCAATGACTGACGATTGGGGCGCACCTCGTTCGAAACCACAGAAACGTTGTCCCTACTCGAAATAGCCTCCACGGACCGGGCTCTTTTCATTTCGCGGCCCTGCCGGCCCGCATTCCGATACCGGTTTGAGGAATTCCTGTCATTTTCACTCTTCAGTCTCGACTGAAAATGTCGGTTTTCGCTTTTCGCGTCTTGTATGTCGTCGTCCAGCAAGTTTTCCAGCGAGGTGGCCTTTCTCATGTGCAGTATGCTGGGCCTGGACACACTGTCTCGAAGGGCGAGACTGAGGTATTTATTCTTCAACTTCTTGACGATGCCCGGGCCGTAATGTAAGTCCTCTGATGAATCCGAGTCCTCATCTTTGTGGTAGCCGTTGTTTTCATAATTATCACTCACCACTTCCGCGAAATGTTCGTGGTTATTGTCCACCCAGGCCCGTTCTTGAACCATTTTGGATTTGCCGTTCGACGAACACGTATAATTCACATCACTCTGATCGTTCACTACAGTCAAACACGAACTACCAGACGTTACTGACTCACTCTTGCACGTTAGGATAGGTTGATGGCCCGGTCGGCTCGAAGAGCTTTGAGGGGATGCGTACAGCTGTTGATCTACGCTGCCAACCGTGGCCACCGTTTTATTTTGATTCTTCAGGCGAGCTATTAAATCCTTTTTCCATTGAGGAATATCCGACTCGACCGCGGCATCCATTCCGTTAATTTATCTGTCTAATCTATTCAAGCTGATAATTTCTCACGGACACCGTACATAAACCACACACTACACTAATATTGATAAAAAATTACGACCGGTGTCTGTGATTGTGTTTTCAGAAATATTTTCATTGAATACCTTTATTGACAGTGGCACTATTGGGTCGATTATGTTTCCAGTAATTGACGATACACTACACTAATTTATCACAGAATGATGCTGTTCGCGAGATAAGAAATGACTAGAGTTCCACCTGTCGAAAACATAATCCGAACTTTCTATCATGATACTTAAATACCCCACTAATTTGTTAAAAAATGTAACCTAAACACAAACATGGAATGATGTAATGACGTTTGTGAATTAGTTGAACAGATGCTCCCTCCAACGTCTAGTAGAACAGTTAACACAAATCTAGTCTAGATTTCTACGAAAAGTTTTTCCGTCAACTGACAACACATCATACAATCTCAAGATGTACGGGTTGCCTATACTATGAGATTCAGCAGTCAGTGGCAGATCTTAAGCGTTTGTGGTATTGTTTCAATTGGAAGTTTGAGTTGAAGGAATGAAGTTATCAAAAAATATATGTTTTGAAAATTTAGGTAGATATCAGTGCGTTGGTATTTAGGGAACTTAGTACAGGCGTGGCATATTACAATTACTTTTTTCAAATGAAAAATGCTTTTTCATATTTTTTATTTTTGAGTTGTTATTTTCAGGAGATAATCGTCATTATTTATAGGCTTTCAAAAACATAAAGGAGTCCAGTGTTAGGTATTGGTTTCAATAATTTAAAATCGACATTCCATTCCATTGCGCTGTTATGTCATTAACAGGTAATGACATTTCGTAATGTAATGAATTGACGGGTTTGAATTGATTCAAAACTTATTGACAGTATCAATGATAATTTTAACACTTTTTCACTTGTTTTCAAAATTTACTCTCCTGAGTAGAATTACCTACCATTATCAATCAATTACACAGCCCACCAAAAAAAATGTCTTGCTGCCGAAAAAAATCAACTGATTTTGGTTAATTTATCTGTGCTGATTCCAAAAATTCAAACCTTTCTTTGTATCAGCTCTAGTTTACGAGACATAACATACTCATCAAATACTTAAATATTCTTACATTTCTGTATATTTCACAACTATAATTGCAATATGTTTCTAAACAAACTTAACAAATTCTAAGACAAATGCATACTAATGACTTCTAATTGAAGTGTACTCAATGGAAATGCCCATAACATGAAATTAGTGCTAATTGCTTCTTACCTATTGTCTGATAAGTAAATAGTATTTTCTCGGAAATGGCCTTAATAAATTCCTATAAAGTCGACTGCATTCCATTGTAAAATTTAGTCTGAACTAGCAAGAGTTTGTTTGTGACAACTGAAATCCATGGCTTCTACAAGCAGACGTTGTTGTGTGAATAACCCGAACGTTTTTATAAGTGACTACACATCTGTATGTGAAGGCACGAATCCATTTGTAGAAAATGACACGTAACCTAACAGAGAACAAGTTTCGTTACGCGGAAACGAAGTACTGTTGCATTTTATACGTAACATATTTGATACGCGTAACCGTTAACAATCCGAACCTATTTTTTACATTTGTCAGTTTCTAGTCATCGTGTAAAAAAATAATTGTTACGCTACGTACGGTGGCAACGAGTAGATAAGTACCGCCTGTCACTGCCTGTTGATTTCGTGTAGTTTCGAACTTCGTTATGTTACGTTACGGAATACGGCCAAAACTCAAAATTATTCGGGATACGAACCGACATTTCCAAACGAGCCGAACAGTTACGTTACGAACAATCTGTCACAAATAGATACCTACACGCTTCTATGTGATAACATGGTGTTACGTTACGGTTTACATTAACATGTTACGTTAAACGTTTGTTTTAAAGGGGTTGACAATATTTCGTGGTGTATTTCATCAGTTCGGACTTCCATTGTCCAATATAATATTAATTGATTTGATAACCCTGAATTAAGCGAAAAACGACCAACTCCCGCCAAACGGTCATCTCCCGCCAAAACCAATGAAGCGGAAAGAGGGGATAGGTGAAAGCACTCGAATGACCTATACAAAAATATCAGAATTCTAAATGAATACGTTCTCCATGTGCTCGTATAGTGAATGATACGCCTGAAAAATCTTATTCCATGGAAAATACGAACCAGTTTAAGTAAACAGATTCTGCGACGAAATCGAGTTTCCATCAAGACTTTCTGAAAGAAACCGTTCTGCCTTTTAGTCTGTGAACCAAATTAAATGGAGTTTCGTATAAATCTTGTGTTGCAGTTTATGACCACGTTCAGTTTATCGCCAGCGAAACATGCATCTCTTCTGTTTATCGGAAAATATTTCATTCAGGATGACAGGATAGAGCATTAACATTTTGTCCCCATTCAGTGGGTGTTGTAACAGCACGCGATAACTTATGATCAATCATTTTGTTCACAGTACTATTCTTTGAATTAAATCTAAAGAAATCTTCAAGCCAGTCTCGAATATACCTACACAGTAGGTTGAATGGACTGTCGCCTATCAGAAAACAACTACTCACCTGGCTAATACCACAAAGGGCGTTGGATTATACCCGACAGGCGTCAGTGCAGGCGCATATGCAATTGGCAATACAACTGAAAGAGTCGACCTTCACTTTTATAACGGGCACACTAGCAGATCGGATATGCAGTCGGTTGGTACCTCGTCCACTAGATGGAGTGACATTTTGTTGTTCGCTTCAACTTAGGAAGAGGAATGAAATACTCTGAAAAAACTCCGATTTCCAATTATGGTATATCATTGGTTTCAGGTCGATGATGGCCAGTATCCTGCACTGATGAGTGGCTAATGAGCTCGAAACCGGTCTGTAAGATTTAGATTTGTTTACTGCCAGTCTTCAAGCATGGTCCACTGACTAATAAGAATGATTTGAATTGATTGGTGAAAAAGAGCTGGACATTTCCAAGAATTATTCTAACAATCCATCTTGATGGTTCACAGATGTCATCTACAACTGAAATCATAAGGAAGAAATTGAATACTTCCGGCCATAACGTGAGCTGCTATGACAAAACTCTTCAGAATTGGATAAAAAAACTAGGATTTAGATTCAAAATAATAAACAAACGTCAATCACTTATGGAAAGTACAAGAATAGTGGAATTGCGTAACAAATACTCAGAACAAGTAACTAAATATAGACAAGAACAACGGCAAATTTTCTATTTGGACAAAACTTGGTATGACACTCACGACACTGTTACGAAAGGGTGGACTGATGGTTCGAGAATATGTACGCCTAACATGCCTGCAAACAAAGGATCGCGACTAATCATTGTGCATTGCGGAGGAAGTGAAGGATGGTTTCCGAACTCTTAGAAATTATGCGGAAAAAATCTTGATGACTGCAATGTTGACTATCATAAGAACATGGAAGCTAATATTTTCGAGGAATGGTTCGAAAACACATTCGTATCCCAAATTTGGATGCGAATAGTGTAATAGTTCTTGACAATACTTTCTATCATTCGCGACAGCTCATCAAAGTACCGAATAAAAATTCGAGGAAAGATGAAATATATAGTTTTTTATTGAACAACAATTTGTATTTTGAAGATAACTATAACAAAAACCAACTACTTGAAGTTTTACAGACAAAAACATTTGAAAAGGTGTTTGCCCTTGAGAGTTTTGCATATTATATTATATTATACAGTAAAATAAATTAACGGGGTCTCTCAGTCATAAATCAAAACTCTGCTTCACTTTGCCAAGCTTNCAGTTTTACTACCACTGCCTCAACAGTTTAAAGAATTTGGGAAAAAGGGCATCATTTCTAAGCCCTTGCCCAATCACGACACGAAACAGGTTTCTTGAGGACCTTATTTTACTTTTAGGTAGTGAACATTCGGACTTTAGTTGTGCGTCGTCTCAGTGTTTGCCGTTTGTTAATTCATAGTTATGGCGTTTGTAGAAAATAAGGTAGCCCTTGTAACTGGGGGTGCGAGTGGTATTGGATTTGCGATAACGGACCATCTGCTGAAAAATGGAGCAAAGGTGAGCAAGACCAAAAATATTGGGCACAGAATAATTGCACTGAATATTAAACAACTTTTTTCTGTATAGGAAATGCGTAGGTATGCGTCGAATAGTTGTTCAATGCAAAAGTATTAATGAACAGTATTTTCGGATATATAATACAGATTTTTAAATTTTCGTTCATCAGCTTGTTCGTAGATAAACGAGTAAAATGTCAAAAAGCTTTATTCTCGAAAAAATGTATGAAACAGTAATGATTGAAACACAGATAAAGGAGAATGTTTGTGGAAAAGATTTGAATTCGATAACAATTTGAGTTGAAATATCAGATTGATAGTATACATATAACTACCTTACATCAGTTCTTATTCGTTAATTGAATGGAAAATAGAAAAAAGTCTCTCAGACAATTTACACAAAATACTTATTTGTGAAAAAACGATGATGTTTACTAGAAATGAAACAGTTGTCTTAGTTTCCAGATTTCGTATTTCTTTTTCGCGAATTTATTTCCTTGTTTTCTAGATGACACAAATTTATATTTTACAGGGAGTTGGAATCGTAGATACTTCTGCACAAAACGGTACGAAAGCCGAAAAAAAATTTCGAGATGAATACGGCGATAAAGTGATATTTATCCAAACTGACGTAACTAAAAAGGATGAACTAAAAGGTATGTTTATGAATAAATATGTCCATCAATGATGTGTGTTGATGAGCTTTAACTTCAAGGTAGAAAATAATATATTATGTACAGCTTGGCTTGCCTCTAGCTCTAGCTATGCCAGTAGAGAACGGGAATCCCAGTTATTTCTTTCGTGCAGGTGGAAAATGGATAAACAACTTACAACCGATAATTGATAATGATAACACGCTTATATCAGCTTCACCTGTATGTATGTATGTTTGTTTGTTTATAAGTCTTCTTTCTCGTTTGAATGCGAGGGATCTATATTTGACATTATTGCTTGATCTATTCGCGGGCAGATGGCGCTGTACGTAATCACCACGTAATAAAAATAAAAAGTTAAGAGATTTCACGACGTTTCGATTGTTAGTATCCACAATCGTCTTCGGGTGATGACTGGACTGATTCCTCTGAGAGATGACTATTTAAAGGTCATTCGAGTGCTTTCACTTATCCGCTTTTCATGTTTTTCGCTTCACTGGTTCAGTGGGAGATGACCGTTTGGCGGGAGTTGGCCATTTTTCGCTTGATGATGGGTTTCCATATGTTGCGTATTTCTACGCTGGTTTGGCTGAATACGTTGTTGGACAACATGTATGCGGCTTCCTTGGATTTTCTCCTAAACCATTGTTCCTCTCTGTGTAAGGTCTCATCTTGGGACCACTCGATGTTGAGTTGATGGGTCCAAACATGCTCTGCTATTCCTGATTTGCTGGTTTCCTCTCGCTGTGCGTGTTTCTTGTGCTCGACAATGCGAACATTCAATGTTTCACCAATATAGGATTTTCCGCACTCACAGGGTATCCGGTGAATGCAATTCTTGGAATCGCAGTCCGCGTTTGGTGGCCTGGTTTTCGTGAGACTGCTACAGATAGTGTTACCGGATCTGAAGCAGGTTCTGATGTTGTACTTGGGAACCAATTCTGCTTATCCTCTGATGTAGGGAAGTGCAATGGTTATGACGGCTTCTCTTCCTTAGTAGGCTCCTGCTGTCTTTTAGCCAAAATCTTTTCTATCATTGCTTTGGAGTAGCCATTCCGTTGACGATCATTTTTGATGATGTCTAGTTCCTTCTCGAGACCTTCCTTCGTGTTACAGAGCCCGAAAGCACGGTTTGATAGTGTTTTGATGATTCCTCTTTCATTTGATTGATGGTGGTTGGATTAGTGGTTCAGATACTGTTCCGTGAGAGTGAGTTTTCGGTATATAGATGTTTCCCACTTAGTGTCGGTCCTGTTGATGAGTTTCAGGAAGGCGTCTAGTTCAGTTTTCCCATGGTTCCATATTATGAAGGTGTCGTCAACATATCTCAACCAGACTCGAGGTTTCTTGTGGGCTTCTTCAATGGCCAGAGTTTCAAACCACTCCATATATATGTTGGCTATGACTGGTGAAAGTGACAATCCCATTGGCAGTCCCTCATCTTGTGTAAAGAATTCGTCCTTCAGTTGGAAATAACAGTTTCATACACATCATCCTAGTAATTCCATAATTACTTCTATAGATAGATTCGTTCTCTCTTTCGGGTTCCCGTCTTCGTAATTGTTTAAAGCTTATAAAAACATTATTTTTGACTTTTTAGTTCGTTGTTCTTTGAAAGAAGTTTTTTAAACTATATTTATTTTTCAGTTTACTGTTCGAAGGCTTTTTCAAAGACAACGAATAACTCACAATGCACCACAAATAATAATTTATCCACTTACCGTATACGATGTTCTCAACACGAGTTCTTCGATGTTAATGAGGTCTCGCCTCACTCCTCCGGCTATTCTACTAATTTTTTTAAAGACAAAACATAAGCACTACAGAAAAATTTATATGGCGCTCTGAGAGCGGTATCTGTGCTGCGTCCAAAAAATTCAACAATACTTTCTATTGCAGCCTACCCTATTTTCCAAAAACGCCTTATTTGTTAAATGTTCAACTAGAGTGCACGAAAAAAATCTCACATCCGAAAACTATATATCAAATACTGTTTTGGGAATGGAAGTTCATGGTTTTCTACTTCTACCAAAGAAAGGAACAAAGTTTATTCAACTCTTTCGTGACAAAGTCGTAGTTTCATGAATTAATTGAGTGCTTTTTCTTGTAATGTTATACAGATTTACTGCTGAAGAGACAATAAGACAAGTGTCTAATTCTGAAACATCGATGCCCACCGTTTTTGCATGAACTACACGTCTTTGTATGAAGTTTATTTTGAAATTAATTGTTTCCTTTTTCTTTGTGAGGTTCCCACATTTTGCCTTGCATAAAAATGGTAGAAAGTAGAAAACCAAAAACCTTATCACTTCAAAAATTAATCTCTCACAAAAATATACCCCTTTCAATTTAATCGAATACTCAAAATAATGCCCGTGTTTGAAATAGTTCAATTCTCAGTCGAATATTTAAAAACATATCTGATTTCACATTTTTTTTCAGCCGCTTTCGAAAAAACCATAGCAAAATTCAAAAATCTGGATATAGTTGTGAATAATGCTGGTATTATGAATGAACCTGACTGGAAGCTGACACTGACTGTGAATTTGGTATGATAATAGAATATATATATGACTCTTATATCTATAATACTTGTATATAAATATCAATACAAGTGTACCATTTGAATAAATTGATAGAACTACGATATTTTTGCTACGCCGTTTCGAAAATCCAACGTAGATCCATACTTTCCCGATTCAGAATTGTCAACACATTCTACAGTTATTGTAATCATGTTGAACTATGGAAAATCCTTTTTTCAATTTGAGAAATATGTCTATACCTCCCAATTGTTAACTATCGATTTATTGCAAATTATTTCTATCACTGGTGTAATGTCTGATAGTGAATTTCTGTCAGGAAAGTACCGGAATCCATCTTTGAGAGATGTGTGATTGTCAAAATAATTTATGTAGCTGTACAATAGCTTAGGAGTAACACCATAAAGAGTTATTGTCTAAAATGCATGTATAAAAATGTAAACGAATAAATCTGATTGAAAAATGTTTACAGGAAGCCGTCCTCTCCGGCACTTTTATGGCCCTAGACGAATATTTACCAAAATATCGATCTTCTGAAGAAGGGCTGATTGTAAACACTGCCTCAATACTTGGAATAGATTGTATGAGGACTATTCCCACTTATTCTGCTACAAAAAGTGGAGTAATAGCCCTAGGTAAGTTTTGGCTTAGTTTCTTGAGCGAGATATCTAGACTGTTCTTATTCTCATAAACAATAGTAGAATTCAATTAAACTCAACTTAGTTATGCCAAAATTATTTTACTAAAATCGCTAACGCATGTCTTAAGAAATTAAACTAAACTTATGCAGCGTGGATCAAGTCTTTCACACAGTGTTTTTGCTATTAGATCATAGATGGCTCCTATACTCGTTTCTACTTTAAAGAAGCGGGACATTTGTTTTAACTACTTTATTAGATTTTCGTTTGAGAGTGTCAATATTTCGAACAGTGTCAGGATTTGAGTAATTCATCTCATATGGTTATGCAGGTAGATCGTTGGGACACCAAGAAGATTATGACAAAACACACATCAGGATAATCACTATTTGTCCAGGATACATAGACACACCTTTGGTATCAGCAGCTATAAATAGAGAAGGATATACTAATCACCAGCCAGATCCAGACTCGTTCATATCGTAAGAATGTTACATTTCTCCTGTATGAATATTTTGCCCTGGTTGCAAACATTTGAATCGAGACTATACAGTCACCTAGCAAATAATGCATTTGATTCTGTGCAAGAATTTTTAATCTCCTAATATAAGTCAATAAGATGCTTTTCTTCCATTTTTATAATGTAAATAGCCTAGTTCTCAGGTTTGACTAGTCTGATAAAATTTTATAAGTGTATTGTAATGCAATGCAATTTTTTGGAGTTTTTTATTCCAAATGAAGATATCTATCAATAACTTTGCTATAAAATCGAAAGCTCTTTGACTAAAAGTGGGAAGAGTTTTAAAAAACTCAGTATAATGTTAGTGGATGATCTGCCATGTTGTTCTTCAACCATACTTAATATTTTTGGGGTTTTGAAGACAGTCTATTTTTGAAATTTCTTTATTTCACGTTTCTGCTATATGAAATCTGTACTTATTGTTGTTTTTTGTTCGATTCAGACTTACTCATTATTTCAGGCCGGATTTTGTTGGAGAGCAAGTTGTTTGCCTTATGAATGAAGGAAAAACTGGATCGGTGTGGGTGATAGAAGAAATGGAGGCATACGCAGTTAATTTTCCTGATAGGAAAGATATGAAAGTAGTTTAAATCAGTTGAAATTGATTTATTCAAAATGTAATAATATTCTCAGTGCATATACCTAGATTGATAATTCTTCATTCATATAATTGACGTTGAAGTTCATAGTTTCAACTTTTGAGGGTTGCCATTTGAGTCACATTATTTAGGCATTGTTTATATTAACCTAGGGACGGATATTCAAATATTACATATCATACCATGTATCGTATCATATTATATTATATCATATATTAAATCATATACTTATCATATCATATAAATATCATGTCATATCATTTCATACCATTTTGTATCATATACTGTACCAAATCATAACTACACTATATAAGGAATGTAATTTTCATAAATATTTTCATTTTCTGCATTTGACGTGGACAAGCTCACTGATTTTGAATGATAACGTGATTATCTAAAAATGCATCACCAAGGATGGACGTTTGAAAGGAATTTTTGGGTAACTCTTACAGAATGATATTAAAATACTATAGCTGATGTAGAATATCTTTTTCTGCTAGGTAACAGATGACACTTTAGTAATTATAATAATAATGTCTTTAATTCCAATGAAAAATAAAAGATACATGATATTTTCTGTATGCTACTCAGAAATCCCAAAGGGGAGTTCACCCGAGGGTGGTCTACCACTCAAACTTTACTATTTTCAATATCATAATGTAACTTAAAAACTAACTTAACTGATCCCAAAACATAAATCTACATCACAAAGTTTTTGGCATTTGTTGGGTCACTTGAATATTCATCAAACAACAAAATAGAGAAGAGTAATATGAAAGATAACGAGAAATGAATATACTTGTCAAACACAGGCTGGAAAAAAAAAAGAAAAAAAAGGGATATACGACAACTTCAATTTGGAAGTCATAACATCTCTACTTTGATTGAGTTGACATAAGATTCTGTACGATCTACGACAAAGTGAATTTATATGTTTGTGAAATCTCAGATCAGCATCTAACCACAACCCCAAGTTCTTGCTTTCTGTAATTATTTGTAGTAAGTCTTGTTCAAGTTTGATTTCAGATCAGCATGTAGCCACAACCCCAAGTTCTTGCTTTCTGTAATTATTTGTAGTAAGTCTTGCCCAAGTTTGTTTTCGATTCTTCCTTCAATTTCCACCTTTTGTGTTTCGGGCCAAAAAGTATCAGCTGAGATTTTTTAGAATTTATTTCCAGGTTATGGGCTATAGATAGATCCAGTAGCTTTTGTAGATCGCTGTTAATTTTTTCCATTGCCACCTGCCAGTTACTTGGAGGAAATCGTTAATACAACTGAGTGTCATATGCATAATGATAAACTGTGCAATGATCAATTATTTTATGGAAGTAAGATATATATAGAGAGAACAGAATGGAGTCCAAGGATAGAGCTCTGAGGTACTTCATAGTCAACAGGCAAAGCACTAGAACACTTTCCATCCATACATATTGAGTCCGATTTCTGAGGAAACTTTTCAATAGATCTACAGTCCCTTCACTAAATCCGAAAAATTACATTTTCCTACACAGAATATTGTGGTCTAATATATCGATTGCTTTACTGTAGTCCAAGAGAACCATGACAATTACTTCATTATTATCATTTGCTTTGAATAAATCTTGGGTGATGTTGACAAGAGCGGCAAAGAAATGCAACAAATCGTGTTAACTTGCAGAAAACTTTCAAGTTCTTTTAAGTTCCTTTTTGTTTCTCAGATTTATGTTGGGAACGTCTGTCCTGAATGTTAGTTTACGAAATAAATTAAGCAGATTTCTGTATGATATAATTCAATGAAATAAACATATTGAATGAAATTGGAAGCTATCTTTGATGGTAAACCAGTTCAGTTCCGTATGCTTGTGGGATACATGTTCACACTTTCTTATTTCATAAATAAAACGACTACAAGAGTTTTGGACACGTTGGTCACTTGACTTTCAAAGTTGTATTGCTTTCTAAGAACCGTCTTCAAATCTAATCTGATATTGAACTTTTGCCTACGTAACGCAAAATCTGGACACCACTTTATGATTTGTTTGACGGACATTGGTCCCAAATACATAAGACATACCTACTTATTCTTCCCCTCCCCTCAACACATTTCAGGTGCATTCAAACCTAATTTCAATCATTTCAATCAACCAAATTTTGTACTTCAACAACTTTGTACTCTGGGTTATTTTCTCCTTGGACTTTAAAGAGGATTTATGACACATGACAATTAATTTTCTCGAATAATTGGCATCCCCAGTCCCGTTTGGAACTTCATCTCATTCAATTTCTAGCATATTATTCACCCCAACAAGAATTTATATCCTACATCGGTTGCAACTTCAGCGTGAGAAAGCGGAGGAATCCCATTTGCGGCCAATCCAAATACCAAACTGGGGAAACTGCCTAACTTTGTCATTCAAAGTTACCCTTTTCAAATCCGGATTGATAGTAATCGAATTGCTTTATGAAGCCCAACTTCAATAGGCAGATAGACCAACCTCGGATCAGAATGGAGAAAAGTGTGTCCAAAAATGGATTTTGGTGTTATGAATCATGAAGGAACGGTATATCACGACAGTTACAATAAAGATTATCGTGTTATAGAAGATAATAATGATGATAATAATAACAAGAGTTAACAGCAGTGAAGAACTCTCTCCCCGGCAAGTATCAGCACAAACTTCGACAGATCTGGTCATCGGAACTGTCGGGGAAAAACAAAGTTGCTGCAACAAATATGCTTGCCGTTCCAATCTTACTCTACTCGTTTGGAGCAGTGAAGTGGACTCGGGAGGAGCTGTATCAACTCGAAGTGAAGAGCCGAAAAATGATGCATCTCTATTGGAGTTTGCATCCCAAATCGTCCGTTCCACGGTTGTACTTCCCCCGACAACAGGGAGGCCGTGGACTTTTGAGTTTAGAGTGTCTACATGACAGAATTGTTCTGGATACAGCCTGTAAAGTCGTCAGGAGTTCGGATCCCCTTCTCTGCATGGTTCGTGACCATGAGAGAGCGGGAATTGGAGCATTTCTCTTGAGGGCAGCTGCCCGAGCAGGTGATGAACTCGGTTTAGTTTTCGACACTGAGCGAGGTGACCACAACTCTGTCACCGACTTGGAACCCGTTTAGCAAAAAGCTCAAATGAAAGCCGCAGAGATCACCTCATTTCTGCGGAAACACAAGGATAAGTCTAGGCATGGGGTCTTCTTCAATAACATTGGAGACCTTGGCTTATCAAAGCCCCTGACTTTTGCTTTCCTCAGGTCGAGTGTGCTGAAGTCGGAAACTGAGGGGTTCATCATGGCATGCCAGGATGGTGTCTTCAACACCTCAGTCTACCCCAGTCGCGTGATAGGTATAGATCCTGACACAAGGTGCAGGGCCTGCCGCGAGGCGCTCGAGACCCTAATGCACTTGCTATCAGCATGTCCAGCACATGCGGTCTCGACCTATATCCATAGATATAACGCGGTCCTTAAAGTGCTACATTATCATCTACGGCACTCTTACGGTATTAATGAGACACCGGTGTTGCCCTACGCTCCGGGGGATATTGAATCCGTTGTGTGAAACGAGAAGTGCCGAATTTATTGGAACACTTCGTTACCTACCCTCAGGCTCATACAAGCTAATAAGCCTACGATATTTGTCGTAGAGTTTTCAGCTCCTGGCGAGACGAATATCGTTCGAAAAGAGGAGGAAAAACGGATAAAATATTGAGAATTTCTCTTCGAACTCCACAGAATATCCAGAACACTCGTCAAGATGGTTGTTCTGATTATTGGAGTTCTTGGTGGAATGATGCCCTTTCTACTTTCGAATCTCAAAATAATATCGGCTTGCCGCACTAAGGCAGAAATCTTAGCCGGACAGATGCAGAAGACTGTCATTCTAGGCTCACTGCGCACATGATTCGTCTAGAATCATGTGCGCAAAAGGCACATGATTCTCGGACCCAATAATGGTCTTTGGTTGATAATGCTGGTGCGCCCTCCTAAATGTATCGGGGCTTCGGGAGATAAGGCCTGACCAGCGCAAACTTTTATTCACCAAGGTGAAAAAAGAAAGTACACAAAGGAAAATCTGTAAAATCCCGGAGCGGAATTCAGGAGACAAGCGTGTGCAACACGCCGAATTTTGCTCCTTCATTCAACTTCTATATAAAACTCAAAGTATTCATGAAACATTTAATGTACAAAAATTACAGTGCCTATGTAGTCAGAGAGAGTAAAAGATAAAAAATAAAAGGAATAAAAGAGGGGTAATTCATAATGCTTACAGCATGAGAACAACATGTGGAAATTAGACTACTCAGTTGAGGAAATTATAGAAACTTCAATCATAACATTTGACGACGATTAAATGGATTTATCTGGTACTAACACACCATAATTTTCCCTCATATTAGACGTTCGCAATCATTAGAACATGTTATATTGTGAGAGTTTCAAGTCATCTTCGTATAAAGGGAAATTGACATCAATCTCAGCTCCGATATCATTAATGGACATATTGAACAGTAGGGGTCTTAGATTTGATCCGTGTGGTACACCAGATGTGGCTATATATTCAATAGACTTGAGGCTATTGAGTTGAACGTACTGCTTACGGTTGTAAAAATACGATTTGAAGAGGGTAATTAATTCATTGGATAACCCAAAAGTTGAAAGCTTGTTGAGCAGGATACTATGGTCAAGTATGTCGAACGCTTTAGAAAAATCAGTGTAGATGACATCAGTCTGAGACTGACAATCTCTCTGCAATACATTGGGTGATTGTTAAAAGATTGGTGGTGGTTGAACGTCTTTTTATGAAACCGTGTTGATTGGGGCTAATAATGTTGCTGACATGACAATAGATTGTCTTCTCAAGAATCATCTCAAACACTTTACAAAAGTTGCATATGATAGAAATTGGTCTGTAATTTTTTATCTCCTTTTTATCTCCTCTTTCGAAAATTGGGCAGACTTTCGACATTTTCCATATTGATGGTACAGTTGATGTTTCCAGGCAT